CTTTTTTTTTGTAATTAATCACGCAGCTAAAGGAGATATAATGTAAAGGTAAATTTGCGGCTGTGCTGAATTAAGCACCATGAAATCATGGCGAATAAGATACAAGCAACATAGCTCCACGCATGCTTAACCTCGTTCACTGTGTGGCAGTGAGTGGTCAGCTTCACATCTGGTCAGTTTTGCCATCGGCAACCAGTGGATGGTAATCCGGACGCGATGACAGGATATATATGTACAAATATATATTTATTTCAAAAACCAAATTTCAGAGGGAAGCTTTATAAATATCAGTATCCTCAGTGTAGACTGTTTTCATTTCTAGTTTATCAGTAAGGTTTTACGTTTCAGATCGATTAACAAATAACCGTGAAATTTCTATTCGTTTTTGGTCTCTTTGTCAATAATTCCGTCCTTTACCGCTAAACTGATGTAGAGACAAGCTTTGCATGATCGCACAGGTATGCTGTCAAAGGCACACATAAAGGACTTACACAAGACTGGTGGTGAAACGTGAACTCGTCGCTTTAACATCGTAGTAATAAAATTATTAAAAAAAATACTTCCTAGTAAATAGCGAATTTCAGGAATACGATAATTATTTTACGAAAAAAATACTGAAAGAGAATTTTTAAAATTATGATATTTAACGAAATATTTCAAAGCGCGAACAGGAATTTATGTAAAACTGACGTAAAGCTTGTTAAACATCCATCAGGCAAATACAAGAATTTCCATGTTAAGCAACGGCTTCCATGAATAACTCTTCCACTTTTAGTGGCTATGTACGTGGTGAATTTGGGAAGTTCTAGAAAGATACAATGAGCTGTACTGCCATCTAAAGATAATATTTTCAGTTAAGGCCAAGATTCCAATACCCACTGGAACATATATACCTTCCTCTACCAGCTAATATTTCCATCACACACGCATTCACTCATGAAGCTGAGCCCTTGTTGAGGAGCCGCCCATTGTACAGGTTCTCAAGAATTTTCCAGCATTTTATGGAACCCGAAGGTTCATTATCGTGTTCACAAGAGCCCTCCACTGGTCTCAAACGCCATCAGTCCATGTTCCTCCCTATTATTTCATCATTTACACGCTGAAACTTAAAATAAATATAACTGATTTCGTAACTGAGATTCAAAGACTGGACGTCCTGAAAACAGAACAAGGGTTTAACTACAACGTGATATTCAATTAAGCGTCGAACTAAATCAACGAATCTTCTGGTAAGTATTCACTGCTTGATTATGAATAATAATAGAAGAACTGCAATGATTAATGTTCTTGTCAGTATCATGATTGTAAGATGAATCATTCAGCGAGAGATAAAATCATTACACATGTACAATGGGAGTTCCCAAACTAAAAGAAACCGTACCGATTTTCCGCAAAAAATCGATGTAGAAAAATGTTTTGGCTGAAGATACAAGACGTGTAACGAGAATAACACGAAAACAGAGACTCAAATAGAGATAAAAATGAATCATATTAAGAAACCATCATTAATATTCTTATCATTATTACGAAGACAGCTTCACAATGGGGACCCCTTTTTTCGAAAGGTGTCTTAACATACACTGCTACTTAATAATAGAGATGAAAGTCATTTCGTGCCAAAATTTACGGTTATAGCTTTTGAGCATCTTATATTCAGCGTATATTTAAGGGCTGTGAGTATGGTTATTATGGCGGGGGAAGATGTCGAACCAGAGGTAAGAGCTCATAAACTACGAAAGTTCCGTAACAGAGAAGGAAATCGCTTAAGTACAAGAGGGGGCACGCGGTAGCGTAGTTGGTGCACAAGAGGGGGCACGCGGTAGCGTAGTTGGTTGAAGCACTATGCTACAAGCCGGAAGGCCGCGGGTTCAAGTCCCGATGAGGTCACTAAACTTTTTTCAACNCCTGGGAAACTTACATAAGCCGTTTAAGAAGGATCGCTCTAGAATTAGAGTCTACATGTCACTATAGCCCTTCGGACCTCGGCCGCTTTTTCGGTTTCTTTGATTTTTTACACAGGGGGCACGCGGTAGCGTAGTTGGTTGAGGCATTATGCTACAAGCCGGAAGGTCGCGGGTTCAAGTCCCGATGAGGTCACTGAACTTTTTTCAATTGACATAATCCTTCCAGCCCCACTATGGCCCAGGGGTTGACTCAGCCTCTAACAGAAATGAGTACCAGGAATTAATTAAAATAATTTTCCGGGGGAGTAATGCGTGGCCGGCGCGTAAGGCTGACAACCTTACCGCCATCTTTGAGCCGACTGTCTAGATAATGTGGGACCCTCAACCTCTCACAACCCTATGGGCCTTCACAGCCTGGTACAGGGGTAGCTTTACTTACTTTTACAGCGGGGTTGGCCAGTTCAAATCATGAGCTGGAATGCAAAATAAGAACATATAGATTATCTTATATAGGAAGAAAGTAAATACGAACTAAAAGACTGTGACGATGGTACATTGGTACAAATATTATGTTTCTGGACATTACCCATCCTCTTGTCTTTACATAAAACGCCGTCCTCTTTATATATCAAAACACAACGTTTCGGAGACTGCAGTCTCTCTCCGATTTCAGGTAAAACCTACTCAGTTTGGCCCAATCGATACAGCTAGTCCAAATCTGTAGTAGTCCTTACCAAACTTTAATGTTAATCAACAAATAAAATACATTTCCCAGAGTCACTACATTTGTATCCGTCTATTCAACTGAGAAGACTGTGCACAGTCTGCTTTTACCGTTTCTCACTGTCTCTTCGCTTGCAGATTTCTTATATTTTTTCTTCTACCCTGAAGATGGAGGCGATACGTTCTTTCGAAACGTCGGTTAACACCACATATACACGGTGCCAAATCCCAGAAGACTGCTTTCTTCATAGTCACCGCCGTGAAAGCCTCAAATCTTACACAATGACAAATATGTTCATATTACTTTGACCCGCAAAGCTGTGAGAATTGCGTCTCCAGTCTCACTGAAATTTACAATGTAAGTAACTTCTGTGTCTACTTGCATGACATTCAGTTATTCATTTCCATTATATCGAAAATCTCGAATCTAAATCGAACTCGAATCTTGGGAACGCCAATCGCCAGTTCAGTAGAGTTCATCTAGAGTTCCTTAACAGCCAGACTGAGGAAGTCATGAGAAACATATTGGTTCTGTGTCTCTGGATGTGAAATCTGCTTACAGAAATTATGCAGCATTAATACTGGATTCATTATAATTCCATCTTATTTGCTATTATCGTCCTTAAATTTAATAATGTTTCTTTCAACCTCTTGTTGCCATGTTCCGAACATTACGCAACAAAACAAGGGTGCAAATCCTCGGGATTACTGAGTTTCCTCACTTTTGTGCTCCGTCTAACATTCTAAAGGAGCACATTCACTCATCACTCATGAATCTGAGCCCTTCTTGAGGAACCGCCAATTCTACAGCTACTCAAGAACTTCCTAGCATTTTATGGAACCCGAAGGTTCATTACCGCGTTCACAAGAGCCCTCCAGCGGTCCATATCCTGAGCCAGTCCAGGTCCAATGCTTTGTGAACATTTTCGTAGTAAGCTTATTTTTTACGGCGAAGAGTTGTTAGCCCCACGCCCAACCCCAAAGCTGGAGGACAACCCTTGTCGGCTGTCCGCGACTGCTTATTCAATATATTCGCAACTTCCCTCCATACCTGGAGGACGCGCCATGCCGTGGTTACAGGGACCCAAAATGGCCAAAGGAGCACAAGGTTTTGGAAACCGGACGTGTTTCCGTACTCAGGTGGAAGGGTAGGCTCAAAGAGAATCCGTTAAGTAGAGTTAAACCCAGTGACGAGAGATCTATTGATTGAGACTAGCTCTACCATGGGAACCAACCCAGTGCTGACAATGAGTAATATAAATCAACAATCTGTTCTCACCACCTCTAAAATCTTCGGTCGCTTTCAATAAATTTGGAAATAGAATTCCCTACTCCTGATTATAACCAAGCGAAGGTGACTCCATGCAAATTTAGCCATAAAGAAAAAAGAGACAGAATATGTAGCAGCAGAAAGAGAAAGAGAGAGAGAAGAGTGCCTGGAGATTAAAGGGCGTTTATAGTCAGCAGGAAGAGATAAAAATAAAATTTAAAGCAGGACTCTTCCTCCCTGCTTTCCGTTTCCGCGGCCATCACCGTCAGGTTGCGAGCGACGAAGCGATACTGTTTTTATCTGACGGCCCGTTTTCATCGCTTTTCCTAGAGCACCTTCTTTATCTCCAGTGGAAGGGAAGGAGGTTTGCCAACCCCAAGTTTAGCGTTGCTCATGAAACCAGTCACCCGAATGATTTACCATTCCCTCACGGTATATGCACAATCTGTTATTCTTTCAATCTTCATTTAAGAGTCCTCGGTGCCAGAGAAAAAGTTTAGTAATTAGGAAAATTGCAAAATAAACCATATTTTAGCCTTTCTTTAAAAGTGATGAACCGCCTTTAGGAGTAATTAAAAAATTGAATGCTCCGTGATATCTCTGTTCTTCTATTAGCCATAATGCAAAGAGAGATCAGCAAAGGAAACACGACTGCTCTGCCAGTTCTGATCCTGGGCTACTAAGATCAATGTAGCGATGCGTGGAGATGAGGAACTTTGAGTTACAGTTATGTTGTTAGTCGACACTTCCTCAGGTATTAATTTATTTATTCATTCGTTCATCAATGACTTTAGAGCCCTATGTTGTGCCCTAACCTTTTCTTCAGTTTCGTAATCTTTTTTTTTTTTACAGTCGGTAGCACTCCTTGGACGAGTGGTTAGCCCTTTGCAAGTCCGCTACCTATGCACAGGACAACACAAACACAGACATCCATGCCTTGAGTGGGATTCGAACCCACGATACCAGTGTTAAAGTGAGAGAAGACAGTATTTTTACGCAAACCTCAGAGAACTAAATTGTCAGCTTCCGATATGACAAGTCTTAACAAAATGAGGCATCTGTGTATTCCTGTTCTCCCACTAATGACAAAATTGTATACGTACGTTGCAGCCAGTCTGTACAGAACACACGTGAAGATGTACGCTTTAATGGGTACAGAGTTCCTGGCCCTGAGTATGGATCTCCCGGATTTCTCTGCAATGGAAATATCTTATTACTTATGTTCTTCCACTAAAATGTACTTGCTTCATTTATGCGGTAGCGTAACCAGAATGCCCAACACGGCTAACATCCAGTCTCTCTCTGGACTCGATCCCCAGCCAACTGCAGTTACATCAATCCTTATAAACTCTGTCCGTAAGACCCATTATAATATTTTCCTTCTTTCTACTCTACTCTCGAAGTTCACACTTGAGGTTCAACACCTACACAAATGAAGCTATTCATTGCACGACAACAATTAGAAAGTTCCACTTATTGCTGTTCTTCGGAATCTGTCACTCCAAGTTTATCGTAATGTCGTCTTCTTCTCTGTCTTCTAAGTATACACTTTCCTAATAAGTTTCTCTACTAAAGTTTGAATAGGCCCACATTTCTCGTTTCTCCTCCCCTTAACCACACCCCAAACACGTGGTGGTCTCTTAGATTTGACTTTGCTAATAGCTNCGTCGGTTCGAATCCCACTCAGGGCATGGATGTTTAGTTTGTGTGCGCGCGTTTTTCTGTCTTTGGGTACAGGTAGAGGCCTTGCGACGAGCTGATCACCCGCCCAAGGAGTCCTACCGAATATGTAAGATCTAGAAAAACCGAAGTGAACGGAGAAGTTCATGGAGGTAGGCCTAAGCCCACTGGGGCTGTAGTGCCAAGAAAAAAATACAGGTCAACTGGGACTGACAGATGACCCTACTTGTGAAAGGTGCCACGCACATCCTATGTGTGTGTAAGGCTGTAGCTTATTTAAGATATCGTCACCTGGTCCATTTCTTCATGGAACCAAGTGACTACGAGTATTATGACGGCCTCATTTCACTTCCACTTTCATTCGAAGTGTAGGAATGACAAAGGTTCAGTCAAAATGGGAAGCACAGTAGATCACTGAAAGTCGCGGTGCAAGGTGCGTATTATTATGGCTCACACCTCATATCTGGTGCGACAATTTAATTCCCGGGATGGCCCTGTGAAAGCAAGATTTGCTTAACTGTGCATTAGCGGCTGCTGTCACCTTTGAAATACTCTCCTTTTTAAACCATACACTTCGTGAGAAGATGGTACCACTGCCACTTGTACATTCATTCATTCCTAACAAGCCTAACAAGTGTAACCTGTTTAAATCACGAATTTCCTTAATAAATTATAGTCTTAATTGTTCATTTAAATTAATCCGGTTGAAGTACGGATATTAATATTAATATCAATTAATAAAAATTAATTATTAATTCAATTATTAAATTAAATTAAAATTAAATAAAAATTAAATTATTAATTTAATATTAATATTAATATTAAATTTGTTGCAATATAAGTGCAGCGAGTTTACGCGGAAATTAAGATGCAGGATGCAAACAAGAAGTGGCACGTCCTTGTATGAAGCTGCAAGATGTGTATAATGTGGCAATGTGCTGCGACTTATGCCCTTCTGCTAGTGCCAGCATTCCATGCAGTGCTTCATATTAGATGTTACAATTCTAAAATTCAGGAAAAGAAACGGTATACAGGAAGTAAACGTATTTAGTGTTGCAAGTGACGTAGAAATATCATGCGAATTTTATATTTGTACCAATTTCAAAATCCTTGAAGAGATGTGATCCAAGCCTAGCAATTTCATTTGAAAATGGAACAAAAATATATATTAATAGAGGCCCATTCTAATTCCATTCCGTACCATTACTTGAATATGAGAGTACTTTATCAAAATTATCTCTCTGTTCACGACAACATGCGTGCTCGAAGAGGGATATTTCCTATAAAATCAGTATTCTTGAGAACCAAATCCAAGTGGACTTATACAGATTCCCTCTCTTTATATACATGTTATTCTAGATTAATTCCGTTTGTGTATTCAGTTAAACCAACTTATCCATGAAGACGTTTCATTTAATGCTAACATGGTTAGAATTATGATGTGAAGATTTATAATTCTACGCCAAATTCCGACAAACTGTGTCAGTCCAAACCTGTTACAGTTCTCCGTGGACGCTATGGTCCTCGTTAGCCATTTCGGAAGGGTGACTGGTTTATTGGCGAGACCGATTTATTAGCATGTTATGACTTGCTTTTCGTATCTGGCCAGAAAACAACTGCCTTGTTTTTGTTTACATGCAATTTCGATGGCCGGAAGGGAACAAGGTCACCACGGGAGGCAAGTCTGTAGTTTTCCGAAGATGTGAATTTTGTTTAGTTGGCACGTGTAGCTGTCATAGAGTGTCTTCCGAAGGGTGTAGCTGGACCCTAAACTAAAGAAAATAACCGCTCTCACATGTGGGGTTCCGAGTTCTGTATCTTTGGAACTGTTTAATTCTCAAGGGTCGTTATGTGATTGGCTTGTGCTAATTGCATGATGAATTTGGCTACATAAAATCAGCCAATAGGAGATGAATTCTTGTCTGAGAGAGAGGCCGTCGATTCAAAATCCTTCTTAGGGGATGAAGCGATGCTCCAGCAGGATACCACTCTTCGAAAACTTGGCGTTTTGAATTGATCGGAGGCAGACGTCACTGGACTGCACTCCTCATGTTTCTCTAAATTCAGTCCTTCACTATGAATCGTTAAAATTTGATAATAGTAAAGGGCCATATTACTCCGTGCTTGCAAATGAAGTTATAATATTTCGCTTCTGAATAAATAAACGGTTTGTGGACAGTGGAAGTTGTGCTGTTGATTTCGAGCAGTGGACTGGCTTCAAGGGTGCAGGTTCCGGTTGCCTCAGTTATTACCATAACACGATGCTGATGGGAGTCAAGTGGGCTACCGAAGCCGGCATATAAGTACATAGAATGAAAGGAGGATGGTAAAAAACGTTCGCCAAGATCATGGTATATAGGGAAGGAAAAACATAGAACGTACATCCCTGGTTGTTTATTTCGTGTCGAAAGTCAAATTTGTGTTCTCTGTTTCCCACTCGTAGTCTGGAACAGGACAACTTTGTTTTCTACATAACGTTTTACTATTAAAATTTTCCACTTTTTAGTTAAAAACAGCTATGTTTTGCCTTTCTCTACGTATGAGTATACTTAGGGGCACGCGGTACCGTAGTTGGTTGAGGCACTATGCTATAATCCGGAAGGTCGCGGGTTCAAGTACCGATGAGGTCACTGGATTTTTTCAATTGACCTAATCCTTCCGGCCACACTATGACCCTGGGGTCGGTCGACTCAGTCTCTAACAGAAATTAATACCAGGAATATTCTTGGGGGTAAAGGGCGGCCGTCGCGTATGGCTGACAACCTTGTCGCCCTCTATGAGCCGATTGTCTAGAAAATGTGGGAGCCTCAACATCTCACAACCCTATGGGCCTCCACGTTCTGTTACAGGGATAGCTTTACTTTACTTTTACTTTATGAGTATAGTTATCATGTATTTTTCTGATTTAATTAAGAAAAAATATGAATTTGTGTACAATTGTAATTACTGTGACTTTTATACGGACACAAGCACAGCTGCGTGTGCAAATATTGTAATGACGTTCCTTGATAATCCTAATGTTGAAATAACGTTGCCATATCACTTGAACTTCTAACCTTGCACTCAGAGACCCAGGGAAGAGGGTCAAATTGATCAATAACATTATCATATTTGTTCACAATAACAAGTACACTTTGTCGTAGAGACTGTGTGAACACTGTCTGAAAGTGAGCTTAGCAGGAAGCAAAATGTCTACAGTCAACTTTTCTGTACTGTTCTTATTTTGTATATTCGTGTCGCAAATTTCAGGAGAAGAGAGGCATAATTTTTCAGATTGCCAGTCAAAACCCGGAGATAGGCTCCTAACCGAAAAGTCGATAGTGAGGTCCTATAAATTTCTTCGTTACACATCTTCTGACATGTCTTACTCAAATCCGGATGCAAAAATTAACTGCATTGAAGTGTTAGACCAAAAGGAAAATGACACCGGTGGATATGCAAGCATAACAAGCGGTGGAGTGGGGTATAACAATGTGACACTTCACTTTGAATCACAGTTTTCAAGAGGGTTTTCTTTCGTGGTGAAAATTTACGGACACTAAACTTGGTAAGTATATCATCAATTTTATAAAGGACTATGTATTTGTTTCTCTTACTCTAAAATTTACGAGGTGGCGTAAAAAGTGGTAAAAATGATAGACTTCCGGCCTTGAATGACAGTCTTACAAGATTTGTGAAATATGTATACAAAAATTCAGTCAGATGGTTCATTGCACGAGAAATTATTTTCCAATTTAAGTATTTAAATGGCGTTACACTTTAATTCAATCAAATTTTCTTTATCACAATCGACGTCGAATACGACTCTATAATTCCTGGGTTACTGTTTGAACCAGTATTTTCCATTGGTAGATAGCTAATGGGATGCTATTCTGTGACACAAGAGGCCACATATCTTCAATGCGTTTTCAAAAGAAGCGCACCGAAACATACTGAGCTTATTCTATCGATTTGACAAATTCGAGTTTAGCATTACTCGACATCTTCAAAGGGCGACAAATACGAGCATAAACATGTCTGCTTCGAACACACGAAGTTGAATATTTTCCCATGAGATATACCGACCGAAATGCGTAAATTATTGTGTATACATAATCTGGTATGTTTTCTACAGTTTATATAAGATTCACTCAAATCCGTAGAATCGTTCGTCCTACCCTTTTAAATATATTCTTTGCACCACCAATAGTAAATAGTAATTATCAAGGAATATATTTTTCTTACTATTTACATTCATTTTCCTCCAGATGAAACGCCCGGAACTCAATAATGTGCCAATATTGGCATCAGATTTTAATAACATAAACTCCTAATAACTTACTTAAATATTCAATTTTCCTCCAATTAATATATTGTTTTTCTTTGAGGCCATAAAGGCCACTCAGAAGACTATGAGGATGTAGGAGGTAATGTTTACACTACACCCTGGAGAAATATGGCATATCCCAACAAGGCGAACGGTTATGTGGAGAGAGAGGGGTGGAGGGAGGGGGTAGGAGAAAATTGTCCACTCA